TACTTCAACATTTCTTCCATTTGCTTTAGCTACTCTACGCTCAAGAGCAAGTTTCATAGTCTCATCTGACACCCATCTTAGTCCTTTCTTTCTTTCCTTTTTAATGACCTTTTGCTTTCTTCATGTCTGATGTCCTTGATGTCATCCCACAACTCATCCGATCTTCAGTCATTAAGTGTTTAAGGCAACAAATCTATTTTTGAGATGGTCTCTAAATTCAGGTGGGATATACTCAACGTCGTATTTTGGCTCCCGCAGACTTGTTTTAATTTTCTTCAGCTTCAGCTTGAACTTGCATATGAGCAACTGATGGTCTGTTCTGCTTTCAGCCCCTGGCCTTGTTCTGACTGATGATATTGAGCTTCTCCATCATCTCTTTCCACAAATATATTCCATCTGGTGAGGTCCATGTGCATAGTCACCATTTATGTTGGTAAAAAAAAAGTATTTGCAATGAATAAGTCGCTGGTCTTCCAAATTCTATCATGCGATCTCCAGCGTCGCTTCTGTCACCAAGGCCATATTTTCCAACTAACGATCCTTCTTTATTTCCAACATTTGTGTTCCAATCACCAGTAATTATCTGTGCATCTCGACTGCATGTTTGATCTCTTTCAGACTGCAGAAGTTGATAAAAATCTTCAATTTCTTCATCTTTGGCACTAGTGGTTGGTATGTAAATTTGAATAACAGTCATATTAACTCGTCTTCTTTGTAGGCATATGGATATTATCCTATCACTGTACTCAGGATAGACCTTGAAATGTTCTTTTTGACAATGAATGTGACGTCATTCCTCTTCAAGTTGTCATTCCTGGCATAGTACACCAAATGACTGTCTGATTCAAAATGGCCAATACCAGTCCATCTCAGCTCACTAATGCCTAGGATACTGATCTTTATGTGTTCCATTTCATTTTTGACAACTTCCAATTTTCCCAAATTCATACTTTATACATTCCACATTCCAATTATTAATGGATGTTTGAGGCTGTTTCTTCTCATTTTGAGTCGTGCCACATCAACAAATGAGGGTCCTGAATGCTTGACTCCATCTAAGTCATTAAGGTGGAGTCTACTCTGAGGAAGCAGCTCTTTCCCAGTCATATTTTGAGTACCTTCCAACCTGAGGGGCTCATCTTCTGGCACTATATCAGACAATGTTCCGCTGCTACTCATAATGTTTTCACTGGCCAATTTTTTCAGAAGTAGACCACCAGGTCTTTCTTCCTAATCTGTCTTAGTCTGGAAGCTCTGCTGAAACTTGTCACTATGGGTGATCCTGCTGGCATGTGAAATACCAGTGGCATAGCTTCCAGCATCACAACAACACGCAAGCCACCACAGTACAACAAATGTGACAGATGAGTAGTGGATTATATACTTTCTGTACTTATTACATACTTTCTGTATTTTCAAGTTTCATGCAGTGAACATGAATTTCATTTATAATCAGGAAAAGAATTATATGCGGAAAAAAAACTTTTCATGAATTCAAACTGATTGTTCTTCCTACTCCTTAAATTCAGGATAAGGAAAGAGAATGAATACTTACTGAGTGCCAACTCTGTCCCAGGGACGGTGCTAGGTGCTTTATACTGAACCATCAAAATCTGTGGAGGAGGGGTATGTAAAATCCCCCATTTTTGAAACACAGAACAATTACCTTAGTTTTATTTTTGTATTTTTTGAATAATCTTAGCACTAAAATCCCCAGGACAAAAAAAGAGCAGAGAAATCTGGAAAAAAGACAGGGAAAAAGAAGAGGAGAAAACCTTTAAGAGAATTAAAGGCAAGTGAAAGAAGAGAATGGAAAAAAACTGGATTGTATGGACATAGAAAATGATCATTTATTCATGCATTCATCAAATATTTACTGACAATAATTTTAAGATACTTTGCTGGAGACTATGGGGCATACACAGATGGATCTGATACAAATCAAAAGATACACATTCGACAGTCCTTCTACACACATCCAACATAATATCCTGCATTAACAGAGCATAACAAATCCAGGAGATAACACATTTGCCAACAACTAAAACAAAAATGGAAAATAACAGTCATCTGAGAGGTACAGAGTAACTACAAAGTGAGGTGAGAAGAAGAAGGAATTACTCTGGCTGGAGGGATGAAGGGGATGAGTGTTTTAAGGAAGAGAGGTTGCTTACACAACGCAAAGGACCCCAATCTCTCCCGAGCGCCAGGCCTGTAATTGCAATTGCTTCCTGGCCAACTCTCCCAAGGTGCCCTGAAGGCCCCTCAAGCTCTGTGTCCCCAAACAAATATGTCACCCACCACCTTCCCCTTCCCGTGTTCCCTGCCTCAGTTAACAGGTTCATTATTAATTTAGAACTTTGTTTAATTCAACAAATGTTCATTGAGTGCCTGTGTGTGCTGTGGCTAAGTCTAGTGAAAGACCCAGACATTAAACGAGTAAATACAAAAACATAAAACCATAGGAATGTGAATAAAAATGGTACTTGTGAGAGAGAATAATGGGAGAGGGTGTTTAGATTGGGTTTTCAAGAAAGACCTCTGAAGAAATAACTTAAGCTGAGAACCGAAGGATAGAAGGGAGCCAGGAGATTCATAGTTAAAGGAAATGTTCCCAGCAGAGAGAACAGCTTTGGCAAAGAAACCAAGAGAGGAAAGGGCTTACAAATTAGAACTGAAAGAAAGCCCTTGTAACTAGGGCAAGGAAAAGAGGGGGCAGGTATGGTGGGAAATGAAGGCAGAGAGGTAACCAGGACCAGATCATGTAGGGTTTTATAGATCCTGTTCAAATTCTGGAATTGTACTCTAAACGCAATGAAGCCACCAAAGAGGAAACAGCAATGAAAACACAGATGCTGCCCCTGCCCTCTTGGTGCATACAGCCTAATGGGGATACAGACAATTAAACAATGGATTCCAATCCCATGTCCTAAGTGTTAGGATAGGGGAAGTGAGAACACTTAGGACGGACACCTAATCCATTCTGTAAGAGGTACGTAGGGTGGAAAACAAACAAACGGTTGTCAACAAGTTGATTCCAACTCACGGCGACCCCATGTGTCGCAGAGTAGAACTGTGCTCCACAGGGTTTTCAAGGCTGTGACCTTTCATAAGCAGATTGCCAGGCCTTTCTTCCAAGTTATCTCTGGGTGGATTCGAACAGCCAACCTTTCGGTTAGTAGTCAAGTGCTTAACTGTTTGCATTACCCAGGGACTCCTTTGTAAGGGTGGACGGGTAAGGTAACGCCCCCTGAAGGAAGTGACGCTTAACCTGAGACCTGGAAAATAAAGAGAAGTTATCCAGGTGAAGTAGAGACAGAAGAGTATTTCAGGTAAAGTGAAAAGTGAATGCAAGGGCCTTGGGGTGATACAGAACAGGACACAGTGAGAGAGATGAACGTTCAGTGTGACAAAGGTATAGAATAGGAGAGGCAAGGGATGAGGCTGAAGTAGTAACCAGCAGCCCATCGTCAAGGGCCTTGTTCATGTATTTAGCTTTTATCCTGAGAACAGTCAGAAGCTGGGGGAAAACATAGTCGTCATTCTTGACTCAACTTTTCCTTTGCTCATCAGGTTCCAGTGTTATCTCTGAATATTTCTCCTGTTCCCTGAGCCACTGTATAAATTCTAGCCCCATCACTCTGCGTTTGGACCACTGAAACAGCTTCTCAATTGGTCATGCAGCCTTCAGTGTCGCCCCTCCAATCTATCTTCCACACTGCTGCCTGTCATCTCTCCTTAACACAAATGAGAGTATGACATTCCTCAGCTCAAACCATTCATGGCTACCCAGAGGGTAAATTCCAAACTCCTTAGTCTTCATCCCATGTCACCGTTTGGCCCTAACCTTTATCTTCTTGGTTTAAACTCTCACCACTACTTATTACAATGATTTTCAAACTTTTTGGACTCAATCTACAGTAAGAAATACATCTAACCAGTACACACACAAATATTCACATAAAAGTTTCAAGAAACAATTCAAGTAGAATGTACTCTGGTACTTTCTATTCATGTTTTTGTTTTGTTAGTTTTAAATGCTGGTTGTGACTTATTCATGACCTGCTAATAAGTCCTGGCCTGCGGTTTGAAAATCACTGACTGCTCCTTCCACTACTGTCTTCTCTACTCAGCTCTCGGCAAACTCTGTTCTTTCACCCTTTGCCCAAGCAGTCCTGGACACCAGGAACGTCATACCCCTCTTCATTGTTCGTTTACCAAGCAAGTTCCTACAGACCTTTCAAGACTCAGTGTAAATGTTACTTCCTCAGAAACCTTTCTAGATAACACCTCAGTCACCATGCTTCCATCCTCAGAGATCCCAGGGCTTAATACACCCTGAGTGAGAGCACTTGTCATGTTGGGTACGTTATAACTTTTTTTTTTTTTTTAAAAAAAAAAAACAAGTCAGTTGGCTTTAGACTAGGTTTCTGGAAGGCAGCAACCTAGTTGTCTTATCTCGGGCCCAAAGATAGGGTCTAATATGAAGCAGAAATCAGAGAATGTTTTGCTAAATAAATGAAAACCAACCTCACTTTGTTCTACCCTCCCCACACCCTCCCCATCTCGGCGGTACACCAGACCTACTGGCCTTCTTTCTATCTCTCAAACACAAAAGTCTTTCCCCCTTCAGAACCTTCCTGTCTTTATGACATGTATCACTCTGTAATTATCTTGTTTTCTGTTTTGCCTGTTCGTTTACTTACCTGTCTCCCCCATTACAACGTTTGCTCTTTGAGGGACCTAGTCTACCAGGTTCTCCCCAGTAACTTTAGCACCTAGAACAGGGCAGTAGGACCTCAATTAACATTTGGTGAAGGATGAATAAACGGAGGAGGAGGCAGACGAGGCCACAGGAGTCTTAGGGACCTGTATGAAGCCGCCTTGAGGGGTTCCTGGCAGTCAGAGGACTGAGTTTACGCAGGGCACCCAGACCCAGACCCGAGATTGGGAGGGAGATTGGAAGTTGAGGCTTCCGGGCGCCACGTTCCAGGGCCTACCAGTAATAAGTGACTGTGCAGGCCGTACACACCCGCTTGGCCGGGGCTTCGCACACCTCACAGCAGAGCCGGCGCCCCTTAGGCACCGCCAGCGGGTAGATGACGTTCATGTTGCAGCCAGCGGTGTCGGTCTCTAGGACGGTTGCCGGGCGAGGATACGCGTTGCCCTGGCGTCACGTGACGACCACGGGGCAGCTTCGTTCTCAGTATTTCACGGAAAGGGGTAGCGTGGCTCGACTGACAACTGGAGTCTATCTGTGAGGTTAACACACACATACACAAAATCTAAACTCTCAAAAGTTCAACGGCCGGCCAGTCCAACTCTAGCAAACTCCAAGTCCAGGAAGGTCTATACGGTGGCCGGTAAGGATCAGATACGACCACTCTTTTTACCCAGGTAGGAAACATTTCCAGATGGCCGCCCAGTCGAAAATTCCACTCAGTGCAATGTCACCTTCACTGGGCTCTGTGGCGGAATCACCTTGCATTTCCAGACTTGTAGAGAGGGAAGCCAAGGGCCCACTCACGATTGCGGCTGCGCAAAGAGGAGGTATGAGAGCAGTGGGGCGTGGCGCCGGTGGACCTGGAGCGTGCGCAGGCACAGGGAGGCGCTACGGCATTAATGGCGGAAGTGGATCTAGCTGCCGAGTTCCCTCAGCCGGCCGGTGTTGCGCGCTGGGCCGAAGTTATGGCTCGCTTCGCGGCTAGGCTGGGAGCGCAGGGCCGGCGGGTGGTGTTGGTCACGTCAGGCGGCACCAAGGTCCCACTGGAAGCGCGACCAGTGCGCTTCTTAGACAACTTCAGCAGCGGGCGGCGCGGGGCAACCTCGGCCGAGGCCTTCCTGGCCGCGGGATACGGAGTCCTGTTCTTGTGCCGCGCTCGGTCCGCTTTTCCCTTTGCCCACCGCTTCCCGCCCCAGACGTGGCTGTCGGCTCTACGGCCCACCGACTCAGCTCATTCAGGCCTGCTGTGCCTGGAGGCCGAAGAGAAGGCACTCCCGGGCTTCGCTGCAGCCTTGCGGAGCTACCAAGAGGCTGCGGTTGCCGGCACTTTCCTTGCGGTAGAATTCACCACTTTGGCGGACTATTTGCATCTGCTGCAGGCTGCGGCCCTGGCACTCAGTCCGCTAGGTGCGTGCCCTAGGAGTCCACGGGTTGCCTGGAGGCACAGCCTTATCTCACCAGCCCCTTACCCACTTAAACGCAACCATACCTAATGCCGTAGAGTCGATTACAACTCATAACGACCCTGTAGGACAGAGTAGAACTGCCTAATAGGGTTCCCTAGGCTGCAGTCTTTACGAAAGCAGAGTGCCACACCTTTCTCTCGAGGAGCGGCTGGTGGGTTGGAGCTGCCGACCTGTCGGTTAGCAGCCGAGCGCTTAACCACTGTACCATCAGTTATCCACTTACCCCGATTAACAGATCTCACCGCCAGTGAACTCGCGTTGGAAAGGAGCTGATCTCATACCCCTTCCCGATTTCTGTTATACCCTGTGCTTCTCTTTGCAGGCTCCTCTGCGATGTTCTACCTGGCTGCGGCTGTGTCAGATTTCTATGTTCCTGTCTCTGAAATGCCTGAACACAAGATCCAGTCATCTGGGGGCCCACTGCAGGTGATAGGCGCTTCTCTTCCAGTGACCTGGTTCCCTGTAACCAATCTTGGGTTAATTTTCTCTTGGCCTGGAAATAGCCTTTCTGCATTTCGTTGTGCTAGGCACTGGGGTTATAGAGATGAATGAGACAGCTCCCTCCCTCAAGGGGCTTGCAGGCTAGTGAGGGAGCTGGACACAGACACAATTACAACTCAGAGTGATAAATAGTCTAGTAGAGGTATGTACAAAGTGCAGTCAGGGCACAGGGTTAGTGAATCGCTACCTCTTGGGGGAGTCAAAGAAGGCGTCCTAGAGGAGGTGCCTTTTGACCTGGATCTTAAAAGTAACAAGGATTACCAGACAAAATGGGAAAGGTCATTCCAGGTAGAGTACCTGGAATAGGTTGCATAAGTAGTTTGCATAAGTGGGCTGGAGAAGGAGCCCTGGTGGTTCAACGATTAAGTTCTCAGCTGCTAACCGAAAGTTGGCCGTTCGAACCCAATCTGTCGGTCTGCTCCTGTAAAGATTACAGCCTAGAAAATCTTATGGGGGCAGTTCTCCTCTGTCATACGGAGTCGTTATGAGTCTGAATCGACTGGAGGGCACCTAACAACAACACAACAAGGCTGGAGAGCAGGGAATGTAGTGGGACTGGAGGGCACACTGTAGAGACAGCTTACTTCATGGACGACTTTGTATATCTTGTTAAGGAACTTGGACTTTATCTTGTGGACCCAAGGGATACATAAGTAGAAGAATAAGATAAAGTTCTTGTTTGAGAAGAACATTCCGGCATCAGTAAGAAAGGTTGAGAGTGGAGGGGGTAGGCTAGTTGGGGGCTACTGCTATAGTTTAAGGAAGGGGCATGGGGAGGGTTCCTGGTAGTATAGTTGAGATGATTTGACTTCCTGGAACCTGAGAGAGGTCTTAGGTTTTTATTGGATGATAGAAATAGAATTTAAATAGAAGAAACTGTATGTGTTTAGTACTTGCTGGCTGAGTAGGATAGTTTATTTATTCATTCTTTTAACAAATGATTACTGAGTACCTACTATATGCCAGGTACTTCTGTAGGACCTGGAGATGTAGCAGTGAAAAGAAACATACTTTGTCCTTGGAATACTTACATTCTGCAGGGGAGACACTCAATAAATAAATTAAATACAAACTATATTAGGTAGTGATAGATGCTAAGGAGAGAAATATAGTACAGAAGGTGTATATGATCTGTATCACACTTGCTAACAACTTTTTGAGGGGCAATCCTGATGATTAGCTTAGATGATTAAACTCTGGGAGCTTTAGTTTACTGTCTATTTTTTAGTTCTGTGTTGAAAGGATACAAAACAATTCAACATTCCCGCTAGAAGGGTTTGGGAATGGAGTAGTAGGAGTTTTGATTGAGTGAAAAATAAAGAAAATCAATTCAGTTTCCTCAGTGCCAAGTTGTGTTACAAGTGACAATTTCAAAATTGAATCAAATAGATATTCTACTAATGCAAGAATTATTTTAGGTTTGAGAGGTTTAAAAACTCAACTTTACTTGGACTTCTGACCAACATCTCATTATCTCTTTACATGAACAGATCATTTGCATTTATTTACTTGAGTGTTTGATTTAAAAAGTAAGGGGGAACAGTGTTGTCCTTTAGAGTTATACTAATGGTGATGAGTGTGGCAGAGCAGAGGGCTAATACAGAGACATGGTTTGCTCCAGAATGTGTGTGAAGCCTTGGAATTAGGCTTCTGGACCTTAACAGAACCAACACTTTTAAGGTAAGCATTTAATGTGCTTTGAAATTTGACAATGAGCTTTCACAAAAATTAGCATTGACTCTCTAGGCAAAAATCTCTAAGTCCCTACTTCCTTATTTTCCGATGAGATTGACCTGGTAGATAGTAGATAGTGACCGTTGTTTACTTATTAAGCTTTTCTTTTTCCAATACAGATAACAATGAAGATGGTGCCAAAAATGCTTTCGCCTTTGGTTAAACACTGGGCTCCCAAAGCATTTATAATTTCCTTTAAGTTGGAGACTGACCCCTCTATTGTAATTGATCGTGCACGTAATGCTTTGGAAGTTTATCAACATCAAGTGGTGGTGGCCAATATCCTTGAGTCACGACGGTCCTTTGTGGTTATTGTAACCAAAGACTCGGAAACCAAGCTATTGCTATCAGAGGAAGAAGTAGAGAAAGGCGTAGAGATAGAAGAGAAGATAGTGGGTAATCTTCAGTCTCAACACACAGCTTTTATATGTGACAAAAACTGAAGTAAAAAGCCCTTTTAGGATCAAAAATTGTTCAGGGGACCAGAGCTGTTAGCATAATGGTGAGAACTAGAATGAATTCTTTGCTTTCATAAGGCCAGAGAAAATGAAGAGAAAGGGAAAAGCAGTAATGTGCAGGAGAATATAGTTTGGAGTTTGTCTTTTAAAGGTCATTTAATACTCTAAAGATAGAAACAAAGGGAAAGAAATTATGACCAAACCACCTGATGCACTCATCTGAATGTCATCTTGATTTTGAAAATGAATACAAGAGCCGTTTCTCACCTTTAAAAAAAGAGTTTATTGGGAATTAATATTCTGTCCCTCAAAATACACATATAGGCTTAAATGTCAGCCTCCCTTATACTATAAAAAGAGGATTATGGATACATGAGTGATCATGTTTTGAAGATGAAGTATTTGTTGAGTGCCTACTATGTGCCAGGCCCTGTGCTAAGCTTTGAGGATTAAAAAAGATGAATAAACACGTCTAATTTGGGAGGTGGATGTGTAAACTATTGAGTGCAATAAAGTGTGTGCCCAAAAGCTGACACAGTGGAAAGACTGTTTTTTGGAAATTTATCAAAGATGGGAATAGGGGGAAAAGGACACCTTTCTGAAGATAGATTGCCTGTAGAATGGTGAGCCTCCCACTAAGTTTACTTTCTGCATCTTGTCCTAGATTTATCCCATACTTGAGTAATTTACCTTTCATATATTTTAGTGCTGCCTTTTGGATAAACTTAACCCAGTCTTCCGCCTCCGGGAAGGCAGGGGCCAATTAGTGGTCTCTACCCTCAGAGAGGCGTTACAGTGTACAGAAAAGAATGCGCTTTGGAGTCATCTTAGGTTTGAACCCCAGCTATGCCGTCTGTTAGCTTTGTAAACTTAGACCCAAGACAATCTGTTTTCTCATCTGTAATGGCAAATAAAGCCATTTGTTGTGAAGATTAAATAAGACAGTGAAGATAAAGCATTAGTCTTGTGCCTGGCATATAATTCACACTCAATAAATGGTTGCATTATTGTTTTTCTCATTTAGCAAGGCAGTGTTACACCAGCGCCCTGCTTGTTTCCTGAATTCTTGAGAAACTTAAGGGTCCTCACACTCCTGGGCTTTAGGTTGAGAGTGCCCAAGAAGTGTAGCCCAGAAAAACCTAAATGATCTATAGTGTGATCCAGAGTGCAATTTGAAAAACTACCATTAATAACGAGGTAGAGGCACGTGGTGTGCTTCACCTAAACATTTTATTTTAAAATGCAACTCATAAAATTTCATGAGGTGAACTGGGAAGGGTAACCCAATGCATCTGACTGATAATAGAAGTGCAATAAATTTTAGTTGAAAAGATTTGAAGAGAAGTGCCAGGATGCACTGAAACATTTCATTAAATCAGGAACCATGACCTTGAGCAAAGAAAGTAAGTACAGCAGTTGAGATTGCCCTGGAGGCAGGCAGCAGTCCCTTTGAATGAAGGTCTTAACTTTCAGGTCTATTTGGCAAAACCTCAAAAGCAATAGGTTCTGTCAACAGTGGCTACTGAAGAGTAGTATGGAAGGTGAGGGAAGTAAATGACTTTCTTCTCCGCATCCATAGTTTCACGTGGATAATGACTATCATTGTCTTTGAATGTAAAAATGGGGATAAGCAGAGTTAAAACTAGAAGTGATCCTAATGTTTGTTTTTTAACATAATGATTACTTTGGGAACCATTTCATATCCTGTTTTATTAATGCTTAAAAATAACCACCCCCTGCATGGAATTATTTAGGTTTTCTACTTCAGTTTGGTTTTCATTCACAGCACTTAAAAGGAGTATTTACACAAGTAGAAATTCCAGGAGGGTTTGTTTTGTGTATGTGTGTGGGTTTTTTGTTTTTTTTCTTAAACAGCAAATGGACATGTGTAGAAAGAAAGAAAAGAGGGAAGTGAGTCAATGAGAGCAAATAAGAAGGAGCCTGATCTAGATTGGAGGACCAAGGAAGGCTTGCGTGAGGAAGTGACACTTGAAATGATATACAGCAGTTAAGTGGAATAGAAGTGGTGGTGATAAGCGTTTTAGATGTAGAACCGGCAAAACTTTGGAAAGGACCCTCTTGGGAAACTTAAATAAGACTAAGCAATAGAGTGTGTAAGTGGCACCAGCAAAGCAAGGGCCCCCAAAACATGAGCAAAATCGAGCTTTTATGAACTAACTTAGAATCTTACAGTAAGAGCAAATAGGATAAAGATGTTATCAATTTAACTTATGTTTAAATTTTGTGTCATTTAGAAAAAAAAATTTTTTTCATTACATAGGGAGGTGGGGGACGTGGTTCATCTAAAACAAATTTTCAATGCTTGGGAGTTCTAAAGGGCTTCAGCCTTTGGGATTATTCTAGTTAAGTCCAGTTTCTTCATTTTTACAAATAAGCCTAGTCCAAAAAGATTGTGATTTATCATAGATGTCCCAGGGAGGTAGCGACACATTGAGGCCTAAAATGCAGAACTGATTTAGAGCCCCTTTGCTTTTATCAGGCACTCTCACAAAATTTGTGTTACTTTATCTTTCTGGGAAAATAAATCGAAGGGTAGTAGGTCGGGGCTCTAGGTAAGAAGCTATGTGAAACCTATGATACCCTGTGGAAAAAAAAAAAAAACGTATCCTCAGAGTTGCAAATGCGTGACTCAGGTATTGTTTTTCTGCGCGCCCTAGCGTTACCACGGTTACTACCGGACGTGGTCTTTCTGGTTTCCAAGGCCAATGGAGT